TGTTTCACTATGACAGTTCTTATTAAATTCGTCTTCATGCAACAAGCCTCCTTGAGATTTTGACAAATAGCCCAAAAGCTGAACAATATCAGCCTCTATGCAGACTTTCCTATTACATCCTGACTTTTTTGGGTCCCAATTTTTTATGGGAGCCAAACTCTTGTAGTAAGCACTTCCAAACATTAAGTTGCCTTAAATTCTAAGGAAGTCTAAGAGATGGACTCTTAGCCTTGCTGACTTCTTCAAACTCTGAATTCTCTGTTGAAGACTCCCAGGCCCCGTGTCATGCCAGCATCACTACTCGCAGTTAGAAAACTGCCATTTCGACCCTCGGACTGCAGTCCAGAACCCCCCGACTCCGCGGCAACGACAATAGCATCAACAACAGCAGTCTTCCGCCCTCTACCAAAGATAATAAATAACTAAGCTGATAAAGTACGTGCTCGCATGCCTTAATTGAGAATTTATATCAAATGGCATGAGACCAAGGCTCAGTCTTTAATCGTCAACCAAGGAAACATTTTGCATGGACTTCGTCAACTTCAAATTCTCATATGGAATCCGAACAACGGGAATTAGTCGCCTTGTAGTGAGGTCAAATTCAGGTTTCTTCATTAGACACTTTCACAAGAAATCAAAGTACCCAGAACAGCATGTAAATATGCGTGTATTTAAGTACACTATTCAATGTCTATTGACAATATATCTCAACAGATATTTAGGACACAAGTTAGCCAGATTAATGTTTGATATGAAATTAAATATGCCTGCCTGTATGAAGAAGCTAAAATTATAAGTATTATATTGATTCTGTAGACAATAGGGGATCAAAGCTATTCAAGCAGATACGTGATGCAAACGATATAAACAAAAAGATTTCCCAATTCAAATCACTCGCATCAACACTCACCTAGGGTACAGCAGAAGCAGCAGTACTTCGGTCATAGGACGCAATATGAGGTCGGCTTGAGATTCGACAACCAAGACGAGTATATTATATTATAATAGGTCTGAAACTCATATTCGGGTAAACGAAGGGATCTTTGTCCAACTAAGCACCAATTGCAAACAGTATTCGTTGTATGCAACATTAAACAAAGACAGATAAGCAGAATAACAAGATTAACCAACATGTTAGGCAATTGAGCCCCAGAGGAGAATGCAAGATAAATGAGAATGGAATTTAGGAATCATCTTGGAGTACTCAAGACTGACCATTGATTATTTGGCGCCTTTTAGAGATGCTTTCAGTGCATGACTTCATCCTCTTTATAGTAAATAGGGGCAACCTTAGAGTTGACTGTCGGCCCTAGAAAAGAGCCATTAGTAGTATATAAAATAAATAATAAAAAATTATTCCTGGTAAGGTGGTAACAAAGTCACTCATTGTAATCCCAAGTTCTAGAGCGAACATAAAGCAAAAATTGCAACTACTAACACATTTCGTTTCAAAATACAAACATATCTAACGAATGTTGGAGTACCTTTCATTTCGTTCGAGAAGGCGAGTAGAAGAGATTTGTAAGTTGGCCTCACCGGCAGTGGTAGAGCTTTAATTGTAGGTCCTCAGCGCACCGCCCTGCAACCCCAATGAATCCTTGTCCAGCTGTCATCCGCCTTAAGGCGAATATCATCACAATAGAACACCATGCCTTACGAAAATTCGTCAAGCACAGAAACAAGAAGGGTGGCCCACCAGCTACTTTTTATAGCCTAGGTCCACTTAGCGAGACATCTCATGATTTGACTGGAGATCCTATGCTCTTCCTACAAACGAAGTGGGTGCTGATGACATCAATTTATTAAGGGATATTTAGAAATCCAGTATTTCTACACATCTAATGCACTTTTACTTGAGAGCCTAATCAGATAAGATAATCTCGTTTAGTGCACAAGGTCTAAGTTTAAGGATATTAGGCTCCTCGATAGCTTAGGTTATTCCATAAGACTAATAAGCCTACTAGGCCTAAGCATTAAGGAAATACTTAATAATTTTTGAGGCCAGTGGGATGAGGCATGATGAAATTCAACGTCCTTGCAATAGTCATAAAATGATATAGATTGTGACTGATTTTCGTCAGATTTCCCAACGTATATAAAGAAAGCAAAAAAATATTTATATTTATTTGAAGGCTCATATACAAGTGAAAAATGACCATGACGATAAATCCATTTGATAGGTTTACCAAAATAATCAAGATATATCATACCGCATTAAGTTGGTTAAAGATCAGTAATACCAGCCACATTCGCAGCACATTATGAGACCCCGAATGAGCTAATCGGACTTATGCAGAGAGCAAAAAATGATAAACATTCTTCAAACAAAAACTAGAGAAGTCGGGTCATCAGAGGTTAAAAGAGATCATTGTAATTGTGGAGTTAGGCAAAAATCATAAAGAATAAGCTGATTATGTGAACCACTGTGATCTATATACAAATAATATAGAAACCGATAAAACATCGAAATCTTAATTTTTACTCTGAGATGCAGCACTCTTAAATGAACCAGTACTTTTGCCGGAGGAAAAGGACAAAGATGGACTGATGAACATCAATGGACAAATTTAAAAAATTGGAAAATAAGAAGAGATCATTATACATATCGAGAGGTTATATAAAAAAATTGACATAGGAAATAATGGGAAATAAACAGATGAAGAGAAGAGGACGAATACATGCAAAGAAAAGGAAAGTACATTCCTATATCTGAATAAATACGTAAATCGATAGTTCAAGAAGTATATTTAATGAAAGGTATATGGTTGAATTAACTGAGTTGACAAATGATTTGATTAAAGAATAAATATGGATAAAGGCGAGAGTAGAAAGAATGCAGCATGTAATTAGGAATAAACGGCAAAAATGACACCACGGCATAATGATGAGGTAATTGATTTAATAAGGCAAATAATTCAACACGAAGCGGATACAACTAGCAGAAAAATAAAAAAAATGACATGGACAAGAATGGGGAGGTAGCACAAATATGTTAATGGCCAGATTTCAGGGTGGGGCCAGAACGGTAGAGATCCGATATCTGTTTTGAGAAGGCCTTGCGTAGAACGTGACGGCATAACTTCATAGTTACAGTTAACTGACCATTTGCAATCGAAAACGGCACTGGAGAAAGATAAATAGAGCGAACCTGCTCGAGAAAGATGAACCAAAAAACGATATAAATATAAAAAGGTAATAAAAAAAACTGATTAAAATGATGACATAAAATAAAATAACTTTTCAGCAGCCCAATAACTAAAGGGTTTTTTAGATCGTAGATATAAAGACAGAGATATGGTGGCCTTCTGTTTGGTCGTAGTCTCCTTTAGCTTTATAGCGTTAGTCTGACCTCGTGGGACATAGCAAGTCCTGTGTTCTCTACTATAATATTCGTGATTTCCAGCATTGGACTATTAAATTGATATATTCCCAGACGGTTTGCCGGCATCATAGTAGACATTGTAAATGAGAGGTGCCATCGTCAACACAGTTACAACTTGTCAGTGACAAGTGAAAGCAATCCCTTTGACCAACTTTCTGAGCAACTGTTATGGCATAAATCCAATGCTGCATATCGCATATTTACTGTTGGCTGCTGAGGTGGCACATCGAAATTCTCCTCTAACTTGTTCGGGCGGTAAGCCCATAGACAGACCAAATATTGGCTCATGGATGCGGCCATTGAACATAAAATAGGTAGCTCTTATTGTTAGGTTGATTAATCAGGCTAGATACTCTTTACAGATTATCCAGGAGGTCATCTTCTTTTTCCAAGATCTTCACTAGTGTCGTGAGTGATTTTTATCCCGTGATGTAAGTGTACATGAACTGTACATAAAAACTCACCAGAAGTTCGTTTCCTTCCAGACTTGTGCCTTTAATTCTTTGGCAAAATTAGTATGAGTTCTACAGTGTATTCGATAATCTGTCTTTAACTTGAAGCAGATAAATTTCAGCAATTTGTGTGTTGGTCTGTGTTTGTTGTTGACTATCAATCTCAATGGTTTTCCGTCTTTGTGTACCTTCGTAAAACAGTATGTTACTGGGGCTCTTGCATCTTTTTGTAAGAGTTAATTGTCTATTTGTCGATTTTCTCCAGCGTTTCTTGCAGTGCCCCTTTGATTTAACCTGTTGGATCTTTTGTTAGTGGTCGATAGGTTGTAGTGTCCCCAAGAATATTTTTTTATTTTTCTGTATATTCCTATCTGTCTGTCATTACTGCGTCACTTTTGTCAGTTTGAAGGACTATTTGGTCGTTCGCTATACATCTTGGTTATAATGTTTCTGTCCGTTGTTTCTTGATACGCCAAGAGTGTTGAAATGATTTGCATTTCCAGCCCTTTTAGATTCTTCAATTAGCTTCTGATATGTATTAATCACCTCAAATAGAATGTCCTTGCTTGCCTTCCTTTCGTCCAAAAGTGGTCTCCCTGACGCTCCGATCAAGCGGCGATTAAAACAACACTAAAGGCTTTTAATCCTAACAGTATGATTCGCAACATCAACATCAGTTAAGATGCGGGTAATTTGATTAATTATCAATTAATACTGTTTACAGCGACCATTCCAATAGCTGATAAGTAAATTGCTAAAGATGAACTAGCAACAAAAGATTTATTTGCCCTTGAATTTAACGCCAAACTAAGAAGTGATTGGAATTTTAGCATTGTATAGACTGACTCCATAGTTCATCCGAAAATAGTATTATGAAGAGTGATCGTACTAGGCCATATATATGTTGGTGTGTTTTCAGTATTGACATGCGGATGTGGGTCTACCATCAACCTAGATAGATTATATGGTGGAGGCTAGAAGTCATTATTGCCGCGTTTAGGGTTATTTGGTTTATCAATATAAAAAAGGCATAATCAATAAAATGTGCATCAGTAATTCTATTAGTATCACCGCCAAGACAACTTCTATGCCTGATTCCTTTAGCATCTTAAAAATCAGCAACAAGAAAGGAAGATTAATGAGACAAAATTACACAAAAATGACCCATATAAAATATATTATAGGACCTGCCTAATCTAATGTATATTTTGTAAACGATATAATAATCAGAAAACCAAAGTAATTTTAAAAAATTAGCAAAGCATGAATAAACAACAAAAATGTAGGCTCAAAAAGTATCATTTATTTCAATGACCTTAATTATAAAGTTCTGTAGGCCCATCAATTTTAACAAAGGGTAGAAATAAGTGACCAATAAGGATTAATTCAGCACCAAAATGAAAGAAGATAAGAATTTTAAAAAGAGAAGATAAGGAAACTTAGTTTCCAGTGTTCCAAAATAGGAATTACATTCTCGAAGGACTTCAGGCCTGCCTGCTTAGCCAGTTTGCTAAAGGAATCCAAAATGAGCCGATTAGCATCTGAGGTAGCGCAGATTTGCTGTAGCATAATATTCGCTGTTTCCTCCTCAGTCCTTTCTTCATATTTGTCCCGTACCTCCTCCTTTTGTCGAACATCCTCAGCTCCACTAGGCGCATGGTTAGCCGATAAAGAGCCGCAGTTTAGTCTTTTTCTGAGTGTTGATATTTCGTTTGTAGATACAGACATATCACCGTTGGCCATTTTATCTTTGAAACCCAAGCTGAGAAGCAGTTATAAATTATAGAAAAGTTAGTTTAATGATTGTAATGGACTATAATAGCATAACAATATAGACAAAATACTCTGTATTAAAAAGGAGTAAAAGGCAACATAGGTTGCTAAAAATCCTATATTAAAGTGAATCAGAAGTAACTGGATACGAAAAGTAATAAGTAAATGAAAAGCTATAGATATAAAATATTATAAAAGATTAATTGTAAATGTAAATAAAAACTAAAAGTTTAGTGAGGAGCGTTGACCCAAATGCATGAGTATCCATCACATCGATACATGTTTACTTTTGGAAACATTGCCCTTTGTGTTGTCACCGGATCCCTAGGACCATGACAAACTAGAGCAAGAATTTTAAAAAGCTACATTTTAAGCATCAAGCCTTTCATAGCTTTCGTATCTTAAAGAAAAATGGACGATAAACAGTATAGTTTGACTCCCTATCGGTGGACTGGGTTTTGAAACAGTTTACTATTACTTCATAACTGGGGCTTGCACTTATCATTTAACTTGTCTAGTGATGCCTCGGGCCCTGACCAGCTAGAGAATTCCTGAGAGTTAACATCTTAAAACCAAGCCAACACTCTGAGATTTAAAAAAAGATTTTTCCTAACACTATTGACTACTAAAAAGAGTATCTCTCAAAAATCGAGGCCGCCATCAGCAGCAACATTCGATGTATCGTCTTGATTTAGGCCTTCGTAATACCAGCAGCACCAACGGACAGAAGAGCCGTGCTGTCTGGCCACTATGGCATATCATAGCCCAGCCTACCCAGCCACTTCAAGAGTGACTCCAAATTAGCAGTATGAACTGGTTTGGCAGCATCCGTCCAGTTCACAATTAATCGTGACATTGACTTTACATTTCAAATAAAAAATAGGTTAGAAGGAATTCGTGAAATGGCCTCGCTGGAAACCGAAGGAAAATCGTTGCGGAACGAAGTCTATTGGATTATGAAAGAAGTCCTCAGCTCATCCTCCCGCAAGTCTGATGAACGTGTGTTAAACTTTGGTCTGAGCAGCCACGATAGATATAATCAGAGCAAGAATCCATATATTACGAAACAATGCAAAAAATATAGTGTCTTTTCTGCGCTACTTCTTAAAATATGGATTCTTGCTACGATGATATGTTGAAACGGTACAGACGAAAACTTGGCAAAGGTTCGTCGGAGTCACAGAACGATGATCCGAGGACTTCTTCGCACAATCCATCAGTCTTCCCTTTGTCGGTTTTTCGGTGAGACCATTTCACGAATTTCCCCCAACCAAATTTTCCTTCGAAATTGAAAGTCATGTCACAATAAACCAATAAGGAATACTTCGAGACCCAATTTATCTTCACAACTCACTATTTGTTTAAGGTTCGTTCTCTCTTCTAAGCTCTAGAGTCCTGATGAGCACTAACTAACCTGCATTACTAAGACGCTGTCTTATACATCTGCTGCTATGGTAAGTTTTAAGTAGCTAGCTAGACCATTTCAAATGAGGCCAAAATGTTAATCATTTTCTCTTTCCAATACATTTTATATGGTCTTCGGTTTTCATCATTAGCTGAATTTGCAATTAAGTTGTGTCTCTTGGCTAAAAGGGGTCGGATTAATGCCACCTTCATGGGTGCGCAGCTATATTATAAGTGGCAACA